CTCGGTGCTATTGATGGCGAATTGTATCATGGCCATGTAAGAATATGGTGGCCGCTCAGACACAGAGTCCTGCCAGGATGTTGATGCTCCCGGGGGCTCCTCAACCTGAGGGTTATGAGAAGCCAAAGGCAAGGAGAAAAAGGAATGACATGGAAGAGTTCATAAGACTCCTGGGGCCTCTGAAGAACATTCTACTAGAGAAAGCTTTAACCTGCAGAATTGTACTACAAAACCAATTCATCAGAGACCACTATTTCATAGAACTGAATTTTAGGATTAGAAGGGTAGTGGTGATCTAGTCAGTCCCTAGACAATGTGGAGCCACTTCTCTGTCACTGTTCATTTTGTTGAATATACTGTCCAATAGTAAGTGGAAGGCCAGTACCCATTTTCCAGACCTGGGGGGTCAAGAGACCAAGGTCTTCGCCTGCATTCTACTACCAATGTGATGTAAATAAACCCATCCCTTTTCAGTGTTTGTATGAGGGACCTATTCCCAAGAGTATGGGACAAATATCTGCAAAGCACACATCTGGCTAAGTCTTAGGCAAAGAGCTGATGATTCACATTTTAAAAAACTGAGCTCTAACTTTAGAAAGTGCACAGGCTGAAGGAAACAGCTCAGTTTTTACTTATGCACATGCAAATTTTCACTTTTATAAAGGTTGTTGAATGAATGATTTAAGGATGTCTGCAGCAATGTGGTAACTGTGAAAAACAGCGCCAGGCCAAATCAAATTGGATTGCTGGGGAAGTATTTAAAATTCACACCTCACTCACTTTATTTGCTATTAATGTATCTTCTAATAAATCTATCTTGTTGAAAATGATCTACTCCTTTCATGCTGTTGGGGGTGCCCCTTTAAAGTTCAAGTGGCTCTCTGCACTAAGATCTCTTCATCATTTCCTGAATACCTACTAAGCACCTGCTAAGGGCAGAGTACTAAACTTTGTGTTAATGGAATACAGAGCGAGCCAGGGGAATCCACCCTCAAGGAAATTTCACAGACGGGGCCAAAAAAGATGCTAGGCAGAAAGGAACCTCAAAAGTTATGCAGAATCACACTAAGTGAAGTGCTAATTCCCAACCTGGGAAATTCTGCTCCACAGGCCACTTGATCCATTTCCCTTCTTAGAAAGGGGGTATTGTCACTTCCTTGGTGAGTGACAGAAGTGTTCCCCTTTACCTGACTCTGCTCCAGGTGTCGATTCTCCTTTTCCTCCATCTCTTGCTTGATGCTGCTGGAGCCCAGTCCATCAGAACTCATCTTTCCGAGCCACTGGATGTTGGTCAAGCTGTTGTCGAGAGGGCAGCCTGCTGCCTCACCGCCAGCTAGAGGGGAAACAATCCAAGATGCACTTAGCTGCCAGGTCCAGTGCCTGGCAGACCCACTGAAATCAGTGTGTAGGGAGCATCTCTCTAAGGCCTCTACCCTCAGAGGCAGGGAACACATGCTCGATCTAACGTGACCCTCAGATACTCTGCCCCATTATGGATTTCAGGAGGAACTCAGGAGCAGTGCTCACGTTGCTTTTCGGTGAGCCTTACGCTCAGTCACGGCGACCTTACAAAAGAGCTACTGAGTATTGGCACAAAGAAAGTCATGCTTCGGTTTTCTCCTTTATTAAAATGGAGAAAGATTCTTACTTCCTTATACGGGCAAGATTCAAGGGGAAAGAGAACTAGAAAAAATAAACATCCTTTTCTAATATAAAGTAGTAGAAATGCTAACTTATATTTGGGGTATTTTCGACAGCACCCAAAGGATCTGGGTCAAGGATTCGGGATGAAGAAAGACAAGACTTTCCCCTGGTTCAGGTGAGGTGCCTGTCTGTTAAGGAGCAAAGTGACGGACTGCGGTCCTTGCTACTGGAGAGGAAAGGCTGGGCTCCTCGCTCCTTTGCCTTGCAGACCACCTACCACAGCTCTCCCATTTCTGCCCGGGAGGGGCTCCAGGCGGTCTAGGTAGATTCGCATCCCTAGTTGCAGGCTTTGGTCCCAGGGTCTCAGTGACCACTTCCGTCCTCCCGGGATCATTGCTCGCTTGGGCTTGAGGCTGGGGTCCTGGAGGGTGAGTGGGGGCTCCCCCACAGCTGATGAGGATGAATTTGTTGGGCCCACTGGTGCCACTCTCTTTTCCTTTGGCGGTCAATGCTGCGATGATGCTCTGGATATTGGCATTGTTAGGGACGGCCACCACTTGGGTGTTGGGCATGGTGGGGTGGTTAATAATCTTGATCCCAGCCGGGAACTTGCCAGAGTTGGACTCTGCCGCCTCCTTGGAGGCCTGTGCTTGACCAGGCTCTTGCTGGGCAGGGGGCCTCTTAGGTTCCTCTCCTGATGTTTCGCCTGGGGCATTCTGAACAGGAAGGGGCAGCCTCCGTCTTTTGAGAATCAGTGGCCGACGGGGGCTGGTTTTCATTATGAATCTGTGCTTTCACTCTCCATTGAGAATCACAAGTATAAGACCCTGGAAAGTGCAAGGAACAGCAGGATGTCAGAGATCTGTGAGGCTGAGAAGGAGGTTCTGTTAGAGAGAGGTGTTTTCCTCTTTCCGGGACCAAAAAAGCATGAGCCCGTGGGCCCAGGTTAATGATCTCTGAGCCTCATAAAGACCTCAGACAATGAGGAGACGAGTTCTACGACAAAAGAAGGCTAACAGTGAAGCATTTCAAAAGGGGAAAGTGGGACTGGGTTGAACATAGGTCAACATGGCCAAAGCCTAAGAATGTTTGGCTACAGAAACGAGCGGGACAGTTACAAAAATGTGGACGTTTCTAAAACTGCTTCTGTAACACAGATCACTTGTCGTGACTGTAGAGACAGGGATGCAGGAATAGAAGGACATGGGAATGTTAGGAAGCTTGACAAAACTCTGCTCCCATAATCTCTTTTAGGATTGATAAAGCCTGTACATGTTCATAGCATCATAGTTTATAAATAGAATGGCCATAGAATCAGAGAAGAAAGGCAAATTATACTATTGGTCTCTTGGCATCACCTCCTACTTCACAATACCTCTAATAAAATGAAACTGCTCTATTCAAGGCCCACCGTGCTATTCGTTTCCCAGGCTGTTATCCTTGCACTGATAAAAGGAAAAGTTCATTTTTCACTCACAATTTACAAATCATTTATTTATTTATTTTTACTTCTGTTTTTTTTTTTTTTAATTGAGATAGAATTGACATATTGTATTAGTTACAGGTGCACAACATAATGATTTGGTATTTGCGTGTACTGTGAAATGATCACCACAGCAAGTCTAGTTAACACCCAGCACCACACATAGTTACAATTTTTTTTCTTGTGATGAGAACTCTTAAGATCTGCTCTCTTAGCAACTTTCAAATATACAATACAGTATTATTAATTGTATACTCACCATGCTGTACCAATTTGCAAATTACTGATATAGTGACATGTTAGTGCTTGCATGTACTTATTCATATTTTAACTTTCTAAGCATGTTACTGTATTGTTTAATTTCTCTTCCAGAACCAAGCCTGTAATCCGTATCTCCTGACTGACAGAATGTGCTATCATCAGTACGCTAAGGTGGTTTTATAATGTTAAGGAAAATGGTTTTATTTGAATAGATACACAGGATACTCTGCTATCCTGCAAAATTGTGTAATCCTATTTAGAGGCACTTTGACAGAGGAATGGGCTGTTTTAGGACATCTGCTACTCCCTGACAATGACTGTGACACCCCTATGATATTTGCTGTCTGCTTTAGAGCTCATAGGCCTCTCCACCCTGCCCTCTTCCCTTTCCTTTATAACCAGGTTTCCTCTACTTTATTTATTTTTATAGTTTGTTTATTTCTGAGAGAGAGAGAGACAGCATGGACAGGGGAGGGTCAGAGAGAGAGGGAGACACAGAATCTGAAACAGGCTTCAGGCTCTGAGCTAACTGTCAGCACAGAGCCCGGCGTGGGGCCTGAACCCACGAACCGTGAGATCATGACCTGAGCCAAAGTCGGCCGCTTAACCGACTGAGCCACCCAGGCGCTCTGGTTTCCTCTACTTTAAAATCTGTTTTTATTCTACCTCCTATCTCTTTAGGCCTCCCTCTCTCCCCCACCAGTCAGTAGATACTATCCCTTCCCCATTTCCAAAAGATATCTCCCTGGTCTAAGGCTTAATTTTTGCTTTCTACTCTCTGCCCGGTCTCTTCCTATCATTGCCAACACTTTATCTAACCTAGGGGGCTTCCAGAGTGACCCCTCCGACACCACTGCCCATCCTGACCAGGGAAACCTTGCAGGGTCTCGGATCCAGCAGAAGGGCCCTGGAAAAGCGTGGAGAGGAGGCAGTGTTGCTCAGTGGTGAGAGCACCTGAGAGCAGGGAAGGGTATGGACGGGTTTGTCTTTGACTTAATGCAGAATAAACTCAATCTTCATCCCGGCCAGTCTGCCTAGAAAAGTAGGCCACCCCAGCAGCCCTCCCAAGGCTGTGCAGAGGTGCAGACGGTGCAGAGGTCAAGCTTCCAGGGAAGGCCAAGGGGGTGCTTTGAGAAAGGAGTGAGGTTGGATGCAGGAAAAGTTTGCACCGTGTCTCAGCCCTCGTTCCCGTGTGGCCCCAAACCTCCACTCCGGTCGTGCGCCCTGCTGCTAGACCCCCTGACCTCGGCGCCCGAGCCGGGGCTCGCAGCCTCGGCCCCGGGCCGGGCCCCAGACTCCATTCCTCCGCCCCCCGCTCACCTCCCGACTGCAGCCGCCGCCGCGTCTGCTGGGCTGTGGGCTCCAAGGGCGGGCTCCGGGCTCCTCCAACCTGGGGGCCGAGCCAGGGGCCCGGACAGGGACTCGCGCCAGGCCGGCCGGGTCCCCGGCGGTGCGGGAGGGGTGGGGAATCCCGGGGGATCCCGGGAGGGGAGGGGTCCCGGGCTGGGGGGCCGGGGGTGGGGTCGGGCACCGGAGCTTTCAGTTTGTTCCGCTGTTTGAAATTGGCGCCGGCGGAGCGTTGCGGTCACGTGACGGAGCGTCGCCAATCGGCGTCCCCCCTTGTCTCCGCGTTCCGGGCTCGAACGTCTCGGCGGCAGAAGGGAGCGGCGGCTGGGAAGCCGCCGGGCTGGTAAGGCGGGTCGGCGGCTGGCTCGTGGGGAGGGAGCGGCCGTGGGCGGCCCGGAGGGCTCCGGAGGGGCTCCCGCGGCGGGGGAAGGGGGGGCGGGGACGGCCGGGGCCCTCGGCCTGCGCCCCCTCGCGTGTTCCCGGTCCTTCCCCTGATCCCGCCCCCGACGCCTCTCCTCCCGCCTGCCTCGCGATCCTCTGGTCTTTTCCAAAATCTCTTGAGGCCTGGCCGTTCACGTCCAACTAACGATCGCCAAGCTACTGGGCCAGTTGCCTAGCATATCATCTCATTTAAGTTTCCAACATCTTAAATCCCACACTATAAGGCTCTTTGATTAATGTAGGCAGCACATTTTGTTGAGCACCTACTGTGTGCCAGGGCCTGCTACCATACAGTGGCAGCCGAGGTTCTTTTCCTTACCTTGTGTACAGTGTAATGGGAAGAGAGAACAGACGGTTTTGAAGAATCAAATAAGCCAAAGGAGAATTATAGCTGTGAAGGGATAAATTAGAGGTCATTGATAACTGAGTATCTCCAGTAAGAAGATCTTATCTTAGGTAGGTCAGGAAAGGCTTTTGTGAACTGAAGCCCCTTCTGAGATCTGACCCCCATGTGCAAAGAAGGGAGCGAAACCCTCAAAGCAAAAGGATTAAGGTGTGCAAGGAGGCCGCAGGAAGATTGGTATGTACAAAGACTGAGGACCATCTGAGGAGTCTGAGCTAAAAAGGCCTGAATGGAGTGGTGTGAGATGAAGGTTCATAGGAAGTTGGACCTTAGCCATAACTGAGGGAATTGGGTCCTTATCCAGAAATCAAACATTTCAAGCAGAAGTGAGTCGAGATCAGATAACGCATTTTAAAAAAGTCCCTCCTCAGGGCGAGTTGGAGTGGATTAGGGTAAACCAGTTAGGCTATGGCAATACTCCAGGCCAGAATTGTTGGAACTTGAAGGGTGGTGGGGAGAGAAAGAGAGTGACAGAGAGAGGGGAGAAAGGGGCATTATTGAAGACCTACTTAAGAGGGGCGCCTGGGTGGCTCAGTCGGTTAAGCGTCCAACTTCAGCTCAGGTCATGATCGCACGGTTCGTGGGTTCGAGCCCCGCGTCGGGCTCTGTGCTGACAGCTAGCCCAGAGCCTGGAGCCTATTTCAGAATCTGTATCTTCCTCTCTCTCCTACCCTCCCCTGCTCACGCGGTCTCTCTCTCTCTCAGAAATTATTAAAAAAAAAAAAAAAGACCTACTTAAGAGGTAAAAGCGTCAGGGCTTGGTGCTATTGGATAGGGAGAGACGAGGGAGATGTCAGGGTTTCTGGCTCCATCACTAGATGAGCCGTGATACCAGAGGAAGGGTCTTGGAAGGTAATCACCTGTGGAGCGGGTGCAGGGGACATGACCATGAGTTCAGTTTTAAATGTGTTGCATTTGAGGTGCATTTAAGTCATCTGGTTGTTGTCAAGTAGGCAGTGGATATATGGGTCCTGAGTGTGGAGAACTCTAGGCTGAATATATAAATACTTAAGTCACCCACTTTTTAAGTGTGAGCCATTTGCCTCTGAAAGGTGTATGGACTAAGGGATGCTCCTAGGCACAGCCAGAGGGCAAGCTGTTAGATAGCGACTGTTAGATAGCGAAGGGACTGACCTGTGCTTCTCACATAAAGAGGATGGATATGGATATACATAGGATTGTATGTTTGGTTTCTGGAGAGCAAGAATATTTTCTTTGGTGTCTTCCGGATTCCTTATGAGGTAAGAAGAGAGAAGGAGATTTCAGGGGCATCTTGGTGGCTCAGTTAAGCATCCGACTCTTGATTTCGGCTCAGGTCATCATCTCGCGGTTCCTGGGATCAAGCCCTGGATGAGGCCTTTGAGTGCAGAGCCTGCTTGGGGACTTTCTCTCTCCACTCTCTCTGCCCCTACCCCCTCTCATGCTCTCTCTCTCAAAATAAATACACAAACATTTAGTTAAAAAAAAAAGAGAGAGAAGAGAGGTCTAAAGTTTCAAGCAAGTGGAAACATCTTAAGATAATCACTGCGGATAATGAGCTGATGAAGGAAACATAGTAGGTGGGTTGCTGAGCACTGCGGAGTCCGCTGGAGCTGGAGCCGATGCTGCTGCTGTCATCTCCCCCCTGGACTCCAGGGGGTGCAGCTCTTTAACTGGGCGTCCTGCTTCCTTTCTCTATGCCCGCTCTCCCCAACACACCTTTTCTCACAAAGCACCTCACGTTATCTTTGAAAAGTATAAATCACGTTATGTCCCTTCCCTGTCCAGGGCCTTGCAGTGGCTTCCTGTGACACTAGGAATATTAAATCAGAACCCTTAACCTCGCCTGTAAAGCCCTGTGTCATGTGAATGCGTTCGCAGCCGCTACCGCTCTCCAGTTCAGCCGTGCTGATCTTACTGTTTCTTGAACAAATCAGACATGTTCTTACCTTGTGATTTTTGCACTTCCTATTCTCGAAGCCTGGAGTATTCTTCGCTCATATCACTCATATGTTCCTGTTGATTGTTTGTTCTCCTTATTCCATTTCAGGTATTTGCTCAAATATCACCTTTTTTTTTTTAAGTTTATTTATTTATTTTGAGAGAGATAAAGACAGCACAAGTGGGGAAGGGGCAGAGAGAGATGGAGAGAGAGAGAATCTTAAGCAGGCTCTGCACTGTCACCGCAGAGCCCAATGCGGGGCTTGAACTCATGAAGCTGTGAGATCATGACCTGAGCTGAAACCAAGAGTCAGACGCTTAACCGACTGGGCCACCCCAGGCACCCCTCAAATATCACCTCTTCAGTTGCTTTCCCTGACAACCCTGTCTGAAAGAGCACTGAGTAGGCTCAACCCCTTATCCTGTTTGACTTTTCTCCATAGTCACTTCCCAACTAGGATGTAAGCACCATGAGGGCGGGGATTTAAGTTTGTTCTCTGACATAGATTTGCAGCACCAGGAGCAGTGCCTGGCACTATTGGCACTTCAGTGAGTACTTGTTGAGTGGCTGAGTGAAGGAATAAATAGAGGTATTGCCTGTGTTCTCCCTAAAAGTGTTTAGTTCCCGAGGCAGAGAGTTTTGTCCTTTCTTTTGTCTTCACCTTTATTTCCATGGCCTAGTGACGGAAGTCAGAGCAGGTCACTTTTGATTGTTGGCTGTATGAGTGCATCATGAATGTACGGTGGAACCAGTCTGCCCTGTTGTGGGACTTTGCAGGATGCTCATCTGCCTCCCACTTGCCTCTCTGGTGCATTCAAACTTCTATCCCACCCTTCCACTGATGAAGCTCTTGTTAAAGTTGATCTGGTTACTGGAGTCAGTGGACACTTTTTTCAGACTTTTTATTACTCCCGTGGGTCCTGTCGATCCTTGATCCTGCCTCTGTCTCTAGCCTCCCATCTCTACGGATGCAGCCCAGATTCAGGCCTCATCATTTCCCACTTAAGTAACATAGCAACCTCCTAGACTGGCCCCTGTATTTTCAGGGTACTCCTCTCCTTTCCCACTGTTACCAAGATGATCTGTCTAAAAGACAACAACCAATTGTGACATTTATGAAACAGGTGGAAAAACTTGAACATGTCTGAATATTTAATAATGTTAGAGAATACATATATGTGAGGTATATTAATGGGAATGATATAATGACTGTGAATGTCATGCTTTCTTCAAAATAATACAGGGGTAGGGAGGTGGATAAAGGGTGTGGATGGATCCGGATTGGCTATGGGTTGATGGTTGTTGGAGGCTCATTATATTATTCATTCTGCTTTTGTGTATGTTCAAAATTATCTGGAGTAAAAAGTTAAAAAAAATCCAGGTGTGATCACATCCTTCTGCTTGAAAACCTTCAGTGATTTTTAGGCTAAAGTCCAAACTCCTATGGCACTCTTGGCTTTTCTTATCTGACCTTGACACCAGGTCCAGCCTCTCAGTTCCTACATTCATAGCCTGTGGCCAACGTGGAGTCTGCAATACCCTGAATTCACAGTGTCCTTTCAAGTCTCTGGGCCTTTTTTTTTTTTTTTTTTAAATATTTTATTTATTCCTGAGAGAGAGATAGAGACAGCATGAGCAGGGGAGGGTCAGAGAGAGAGGAAGACACAGAATCTGAAGCAGACTCCAGGCCCTGAGCTAGCTGTCAGCACAGAGCCTGATGCGAGGCTCGAACCCACGAACCGCGAGATCATGACCTGAGCTGAAGTCAAATGCTCAACCGACTGAGCCATCCAGGCGCCCCTCAAGTCTCTGGGCCTTTGTGTGTGTCTCCCCACAGCTTGGAGGGCCTTGCCTTGTCTGCTTTTTGGCTGTCTATATCCCTTCCGTACTAGGCCAGGTAACATCCTCTCTAGAAAGCCTAAAAGCCTCCCCTGGATGAGTGGAAGCATTCTCCCCATTATTGTGATTGTGTCTCTCCCTCTGCTGGACTCTCAGCTCTTTGAAGACAGGAACAGTCTCATCTATGAGTCCCTTCAGGCACTTGGAACTAGATAAATCCTTGTAGAATCAATGGTTCTTCATCTTTAAATTCCCAGCACCAGCATGGCACTCAACATGTGCTTGATCAGTCGTTCATCAACTGAATGTTGTTGAGTGTGAAGTACCGTGTTTACACTTGGTGGTGTAGTAGGAAGCTGTGCCCCCCACAGTATTGAGGTAGGAGGGGAGTTGTTAGAAATGGCTGTCAGACTGTGAAGAAGAGCTGGGGACAGAATCATTGGAATTATTTTCTCCCAGCTTTTGTTTCTTCTCTGCAGGCATGGGTTGGAATCCGAGCCTGTACCCCGACCTGACTACAGCCAGCACAATGCGGTTACTAACTGCTCTTCATTCACCTATTGATGCCTCCCAGAAAAAAACGCTGTCAAGGGTCCCAGAAAGCCCAGCTGCTATTCCTACAACAACCACTGGAGGGCCCCAAACACCACTATGGATCTGAACGGCTTCCCGTCACCCACACCCGACAGGTGCCCAGCAAGCCCATTGACCGCAATACCATCACTTCCTGGGTAGGCTATGGGATTCTTACTTTGACTTTTGCTCTGTTAGGCTTCTCAGGATGCCAACTCTTCTGCCCCTTGAACCAGGGCCTCCAAAGAATAAGATTCATGGGGCAGGGACAAGGAGGCAATGTACTCTTTCTGTCATCAGCCATCTTCTCTGGTATATATCTTTTTCTAAGTTCAAGCTGAGGGCTGGTTGGAATTGGAGTCTTTCCCTCCACATTCTTAGAGTTCAGTATAAAAGTTTCATTAACCAGTAGCTGGGTAAAAAAGTCAGACAAATGGCAGAATGAGTGAAAAATGAAATTGTTCCCCAAGTTTCATGTGAGAGGTAAAATATTTAACTAGGCACTGTATTTACTATTTCCTAGATTGAACCTGGAAAAAAAAAACCCCACAGAAAATGGCATGTCCTATTTTTTTTTTTTTTAATGTTTGTTTATTAAGAGAGAGAGCGTGAATAGGGGAGGGCAGAGAGAAACGGAGACAGAGAATCCGAAGCTGGCATTGTGCCAACAGCAGTGAGCCTGCTGTAGGGCTCAAACTCAGAAACTGAGATCATGTCCTGACCCAAAGTTGGATGCTCAACCGACTGAGCTACCCAGGTGCCCCATGGCATGTTGTATTTTGACGGTTTCAAAACCCTGGGAAGAGAACAGAACTATTATATGTTGGGGAAGTGGTGTAGCCAAAGGGCCAGACAAAAGCATAATGTCCATGCAAGAGTGCTTAATTAATATAACTTGTCCAGGATTGCTCAGAAGAACCATAATACTTGCTTTGGGATTGTAGAAGAAACTGACATGTTAGAATCCCGTGGATGAGAAGAGGAGTGAGCATTTAGTGGGAACTCATTGTGTGCTAGGTCTTATGCCAGTTGCTCTCCAATACATGATCTCACTCCCTGTTGCGTCCAGTCATTCCCTTTCCTGGGGGCCTTCTTTGTGCAAGGCACTCTGCTAGGTGCTGGGGATCAAAGGCAAAGAACACTGCTGGTCTCTGCCCTCAAGGTTTAAAGATAGTTAAACAAATTGCAGCCATGCGGTGCGATAAAGTGAAGGTGGCATTGTCCCCTTTCTTATATGTGAAGAAACAGAGAGCCAGATCGAATAATTTGCCCATAGCTCCTAGCCCTTTCTCTTAATATCCCATTAGATAGGTATTTTGTTTTGTGTCCGTTACTATAGCGGGCCCCCCTTTAGAATCTGGTCTTTTGATATAGTTTCCTCCCTCAGGTTCATACTTGGTGGCTAGCCCTCCTCACTTCTTTTTGGTTTTTGTTTTTGATTCTAACTTAGGTATCACCTCAGTTTGATACAACAGGAGAAAGTTGGTTCCCAGTGAACCAGAAACGTCATCATCGAAACCAAGCAAGACATTCAAGTCGAAAATCCACCGCCTCCAGGTTCCCACATCTAACGTTTGAGAGCCCATCGTCTTCCAGTTCAGCCACGCTTGGGATCCCGTTAACCAGGGAGTGCGCCAATCAGTCAGAAAAGTGCATTTCCGGAAGGCCCTTAGTTCCGGTGCTCAGTCCTCAAAGCTGTGGGGAGCTGTCAGCACATACGCTTCAAAACTTACCTTATGTGCTCATGCCACCCGATATCCAGACCCCAGAGTCCTCGTTTGTGAAGGAGGGGCCCATTCCCTCAGATCAGAGGGAAAATAGCCTTCCAAGCTGCTCCTTTCACACCAGTACTCCCAAGAGCCCAGATCCTGGGCCTGTTCTAGTTAAAGACACTCCTGAGGAGAAGTATGGGATCAAGGTCACATGGAGGAGACGTCACCACTTGTTTACTTACCTCAGGGAGAGAGGGAAGCTGAACAAAAACCAGTTCCTTGTGAAAAACTCACTGGACTTCTCAGACACCAGCAACCTCAAGAAATTTCCATAGAGTTGCCAAGTCACTTTTCTGGCTCATGGGAGTGTACGTCAGAAGAATAAAATGCAAATAATGCCAATAACATCAACAGAAAAAAGATAGTTTAACTAGAGACTTGGAGTCATGAGGGAATCTGATTCCCAGATTTGTTTTTTAAAATGTCTTTTCCCAAAAAGTTTTTAGTGTCATAAACAGTTCACTTCATATTTTTCTTCTATTAACTGTTTACAATGTTCAAGTATCTTATAGTTACTGTTTAAAATGTTTGTAAATAAATAGTTGCAGAAAGGTTTTAGAGAACCCTGCTTCTGATTACCGATCATGCAGCAATACTGCCTTCTCCACAAAAGGCCTTTCTTCATTTTTTTTTTTTTTTTTAGCCACTACTCATTAATCCTCTAATCACTCCATTCAACTGAATTCATTCCACATTTTGAGTCCCAACTCTGTGTCAGGCTCAACAACAGCTGCCTTTGTGGCATGGATGGGAAAATCAAAGCAAACTCTATGGCTTTTCAGAGCTGAGCAACCTTTTTAGATCTCTGCAACCTTGCCCATCTGCTAAAAGTCAAGATGAGGAAAGGTACCCAGCCCTGTGTTAGTGAATACCGTGGTCAGGGACAATAAAGCGGACAGAGATAAGTTACTTAAACTGTCTTTGGGTTTATTTCCATTCAAAGAAATCTGCAAATACCACACGGGGTGGGGAAAATGATTTCTTGTAGTGGCTGTTTAAAATGTATGTAATTAAATATGGAAACTTTTCGGAGAAGACTAATTACTGTAGCTAATGCAGGACTGCCCAGGCAAAAACTGCCTCCATTGCCCTTTCACTGATACACATAGCGTCTCACTCAACCGCATCCATTCAGCATTAAGAACCTACTCTGTGTCCAGGTCGGCCTGAGTTAAACAAGCCGGGATTATTCCGTTTTATTATATAGCTGGGGAGCTGCAGCCCAGATAATGGGCTGTGTTTAGGGTCACACAGTGAGTGGAGGCTGACACATCGAGGCGATGCTGTCCCGGCGTGTGCCGAGTCCTGGGCCTCTCTGGCAAACCCGATGTGGAAACAGCTGACCTTGGGACGCTGTAAATAATAACATGCAATAACTCTGGCCAGGATGTTTTGTAGAGGTTACAATGATATGTGTAAGTCGGTGGTGGGAAAGGAAGTGACGGTTGGCGACAAGGTTTATTGGAAACGAGAGTATGTGTTTAGCGGATCTCACGGGATGTGGATGTTGGGAGATCGTGCGTAGGCTGTAGAGAAAGGTAAATGGGAAATGTTCTTACGGTCTGTAGAGTTGGCCTAAGCAAGGCTCTAAACGCTTGGGCTGCAGGAGGGGAGGCTGAAGGAGTTTTGTGCAATTGGAGTGAGAGACCAGAGAACTATGAAAGATGCCTTTACCCGGGAATGACTGCCAGAGGGGGTACACGTGTGGTTCCCTGAAGGCTCTGGTGTCAGGGGAGGAGGCCGGACTGTGAGGGAGCCGGCAGAGGTCGGTGAGTCCTAACATTACCGACCTCTGGGAGCACTCTGGGTGGTCTTTGGGTACACACTGCTGGGATGTGCAGAGGCCGCTCCGTGGGTGGCGGTTAGGGGGATGGGCCGCTCTTCCACACACTGACTTCGCCGCTGGAAGCCGACACAGCTGAAGCGAACACACCCCTCCGCCCTTGGCCCCTTTCCGGCGCCGCGCTCCAGGGACCCAGCCCTACCAGCGCGTCACCCGAGCTCGAGCGCAGGCGCCTTTGACTCCGAGCCCCTCGGCCCCTTAGAAACCCTCCCGCATCTCTGGGCGGCAGCAATAGCCAATGAGAGAAGAGAGGCGGACGCGGGGACCAATAGGCGGTAGCGACAGTGCAGAGTGCGGTTGCCAGGGGGCGGGGCCCGGCTGCTTGCCAGGCTTGCCAGCCCAGCAGCGGCGTCGGGGGTTCTGGACGTGGTGGCCGCTTCCTGAGTCGCGGGGATGGAGGCGTCGCGCTGCCGACTCGGACCCCGCGGGGACAGGTCCGAGAGCGGTGGTGGCTGGTTTCATCTCGAGCGGGGCGGAAGGATGGAGTGAGACTGTGGCGGTCCTCTCTGGGAGCTCTGAAGAGAGAGGGCGGCGGGTTTGGGTCGGGGAGGTAGGGGCGGATTCGGCGGCAGGAGGCGAATCCCCTGTCCCCTCCTCGGCGGTGGAGGATCCCCTTTTTATCGGTGGGCGGTGGGAGGCAGCGGCTCTGTATCCTGCCTCGAGAGCAAAGACTTTGTGTTCTTCTGGTCCATGCTTGCGAAACTCTTGGAGTTTTGGTTACGAGCTCGTCTTGCTCTCTCTGGGCCTCGCTTACTCAAACTGTGCGGTGTTCCTGCTTCTCACGCACTGCCCAGCAGTGTCATCATAATAGAGGTGGATGAAGTCTTTCCCGAGGGTGTCGAAGGGGAAGGTTGTGGGTGATATTTAATCATTGGCTCTAATGCCATTGTTTTTGGCAGGCGGTGATGAATTGTAGAACAGAGTCCGAGGGCTGAAAGTGCAAAACTGTTCTTTCCTTTCTATCCGCTTTATAGTACTTCTCTCTTATTTAAGGTTGTTTTGCAGTGCACCATGCCCCTTGTTTGTGCTTCTTTTTTTCTCTGCGGTGCCCCTTTTTCCTGCCTCCGCCAGAGGGAGAGCCTGGGAAATAAAACAATCTGAAATCTCAGTCTGTCAATTTCTTGTTAGCTAGATTAATGAAAAGTTAACCAGGAGCGGCATGAAATCATTGGCTTCAAACTTTGGTGTTGTCTGAGGATTGAAATCATACACGCCAACGTATTCCCCGCTTTTTATTCCATTACCAAGGCAAATAAAGATGTAGTGTGTAAGGATTTAGTCTGATATTTAGATTACTAGATATTTGAACAATTCTAAACCATTTTAAAACGTCACAGAGGAGGCGTTGGTGATAGAAAACACCCATTTTCCTCTTTTGTCAGGTTTTATTTTTTATTTTATTTTTTAATTTTTTAAATGTTTTATTTATTTCTGAGAGAGAGCGAGAGACAGCATGAGCAGGGGAGGGTCAGAGAGAGAGGGAGACACAGAATCTGAAACAGGCTCCAGGCTCTGAGCTGGCTGTCAGCACAGAGCCCAATGCGGGGCTCGAACCCATGAACCGAGAGATCGTGACCTGAGCCGAAGTCCAACTCAACCGACTGAGCCACCCAGGCGCCCCTTGTCAGGTTTTATTTACCTGCTAGCTGCCCTTTGAAAACTTTCTTCGCTATGCTTACCTTTTTTCAAGATGAGAGAAAAATAACCCAAGTTTATCGATATAAATATGGAAGTGCCAGAGGAGGTACAGCTAAAATTCAGCGTCTTTGTTGAATTCAGATGGTATTTGTTCACTTGTGGCCATTCAAAAAATTAATTGAATGAATTTACGACAGTAAATTTCATGGGTACCAGATATCTGATATATGACACATGATTTTGTCATATATCAAATGACAGTGGAGTGGGGAAGGAATTGACTTTGAAACTGAGACCAGGAGGCAAAGTGGTTTTTAATTTATTGGACCTGAAGTTTAAAAGGATAGTTTAAAATTTTCCCTCCTTTTTCTTCCCAAAGAAAACAGCTCTTTAATTTAAAAACTGACATCAAAGGAGAGTGTGAGTCACCAAATGTTTCTCCTGCCCTAGGTAGTTTTAAGGGCAGTGTCTATCACTGTTTAACTCAGTTGTTGCTGAGAGGGAGTGGAAGTCTCTTCTATTTTGGCTTCAGGTTGTATATTTAATGTTTTTGATGAGCTTTTGGTATTAATACCTTTCAGTGTGAAATATAACATCTGACCTTTAAGTTTCCTGTGATTTCTTTTCCCCTTTGAATTATGTGACTGTTTTCCCATGAAGTGGATTTGTTTTCAACAAAGTGGAAAAATTACTAACAAACTCCAAATATTTTTCCTATTTCTGAAATCCTTGGTGAAAATTGGAGATGGAATTTGAAACAACACTCTCAGGACCTTTGTTGAAGCTAGGCATTTTATAGTCAAGATTCCCTGGAGATGACTGTGGTTGGCTAGTGCTAGAACTTGAGCTCTTTATGGCCTTTTGTTCCTGATAGAGAATTGAAGGTATGGTGAGAGATTTCTCTGTGTGATGTGACCTTGCGGCCCAGTTGACTTAGAAAGCCCTAGTCTGTGGTTTATCCACACGCCATGGTTTCTCTTTGTGAATATGAACAGTAGTAGCTGGAGGTTATGTGTTAGCCAGGCTGCTCATCCTCTCTCATGTTCTCTCTTTTTCAAATGTTTCATCAGATCAACTAATTGTTGACAAATAAAGAGACTTACCCAGGGCTTAAATATACTCAGATTAACTAATACAGGACTGCAGTATGTTTGGTAAATATTAAAAGCTCTTAATATCCAATCATACATGTATTTTTCCAAACATGAAAAGCTGCATACGGACATAGAAGGGAGAGAATAATCTCTGCAGTAAATTCTCTTTTTTCAATATCTTCTGTTCGAAGGAGACAGACTCAGTTTTTGGAATATTTCTGACTTCTCTTATTCTTTCCTGTGGAAACTCTGCTGTTTTCCCTGCCTTAGTGCCTGTTGAAAGAAAATGCTAACGTTTCTGCTTACTAAGGGGAAAAGTATGCTTGAAATTACTCAGAGGAGGAGTTGAAGTTGCCTTGCCTCTCTGTATTTGAGGATTTTAGGACTAGAAGGGGGCTTGATAATTCCCCTAGATCTCCTGTTTGAGAATAGTGGAATTATTATGGCTTCTTTCAAACTAGAATTTCCTGTAGTCTGCTTTTGCTTTATTTTCTCTGAATTGATTCACTAGAAATAAGTTCTTTGTTCTACTGAATCTATTCTGTCTCATCAGACATCCTTACTGTTTGTTAGTAATAATGAAAGCTCCACTATTTTCCTGGCCTCGTTACAACTGAAATCCACTTATGCTTGAGAGAAGACACTCTATCCACATGCTGACTGATGTGCTGTCTTTATTCACGTACTTTAACACCTGGTATGAGGCTTGATAATGAGGATTACCATGTCTGTCTCTGCCTTAGAACTTCTGTGAAAACATCAACGATTAGCATTATGTTGTATGAGTCACCAGAACCCCCTGGAAGACCACAGTTCTGAAGAGGGTTAGAGTAATACTTTTATTTTTTATAAGATGGCATTTGCTGCTTTACTGCATGGTATTATGGGAGGCACTGGAAACTTCCACTGGGCTCCTGTGGAAATATATATAAATATATATTTAAAATTATATATATAAATATATATAAAAATATATATATTTTTAACAGCACACGGCTCAAATTTCAAAAGGAACAAAATGCTTTTCAGTTAAAAGTGTGTCTTTTCTTACTGTCTTCATGTCACATAATTCATTGATGGGCATCTTAAGGGGCCTTTCAAAGATATTATATTAAATAATCTTCAAATATTCTTTCCCCACTCCTAAAATTTGATGATTTTGAGTTTTAGGGTAAAATAGAATTAACTAAGCTTGGATATCTACTTTCATCATGGACAAGATGTATTTTTAGAATATGAACTATATATAGCAGGGCACCTGGGTGGCTCAGTAGTTAAGCATCCGATTCTTGACTTCAGCTCAGGTCATGATCTCACGGTTTGTGGAATTGAGCCCTGAGTTGGTGGATCCTGCTTGGGATTCTCTCTCCCTTTCCTTCTGCCCCCCCCGCCCCCCCGCTTGCACTCTCTCCCCTTCTCTCAAAATAAGTAAATAAAAACATTAAAAGATGGGGCGCCTGGGTGGCTTAGTCGGTTAAGCGTCCGACTTTCGCTCAGGTTATGATCTCGCGGTTCGTGGGTTCGAGCCCCGCGTCGGGCTCTGTGCTGACTGCCAGCTCAGAGCCTGGAGCCTGTTTCAGTCTGTGACTCCCTCTCTCTCTGGCCCTCCCCTGCTCATGCTGTCTCTCTCTCTCTCTCTCCTAGAAATAAATAAAACATTTAAAAAAAAATTTAAAAAAAAAATAAAAAAAAAATAAAAACATTAAAAGAAAATTTTTAAAAATGACCACATTGAAACATATGAACTATATAGTTATTGCAAGTTTTAATTTTTTCTATGGTAATTAAAGTATAGAAAACAGAACTTTAAGAAGAAAACAAAGATTATTTTTCAGTCTTCTGGAAGACTAAACCATTGCTCTTCAGCTTTTCAGGAAGAAACGTCAATAGATCTGCAGTTTGCCTTTGATAGTAGCTTTTCAAATGAAACAAATTTAATAAAGGATTGACCTGTATCCCTGTGGCAACAGTTTAATTTTGTTACAGCAATGCATATGAGCCAGAGACAAAGTAGGGAAGAGTCTTTTGTCTTAGTAAAGGTCTTAAGCTGTGTGTGTGTGTGTGTGTGTGTGTGTGTTTTAAAGGAAAGATATGTCAAGATAAAATGATCAGTAATAAGGGCTTACATTTGGGTAGCCTTGGCAGCCTTCATAATGTTTCACTCATTTGATCTCTTTTGAGCTTCATAGCTCCGAAGACAGCAGGGCTGCGTTTTATAGGTGGGGAAGTTAAGGCTCAGAAAGGATGTGATGTACCTAAATGATGTAGTTAAAGGTAAAATTCAGAAATAAAATCCAGGCTTTTGATTTCTTTTTTCCTAATGTTTGTTTATTTTTGAGAGAGAGAGACAGAGACACAGTGTGAGTGGGGGAGGGACAGAGAGAAAGGGAGACACAATCCGAAGCAGGCTCCAGGCTCTGAGCTGTCAGCACAGAGCCCAATGTGGGGCTCGAACTCATGAACTGTGGCCTCATGACCTGAGCTGAAGTCAGGTGCTTAACCAGCTGAGCCATCCAGGTGCCTCTCTCTCTTTCTCTCTCTCTCTCTTTTTTGAATATTTTAATTTATTTTTGAGAGAGACACCAAGCAGGGAAGGGACAGAGAGAGAGGGAAGGAGAGGATCAAAAGCGGGCTCTGTGTTGACAACAGCGAGCCTGATACAGGGCTGGAACCCATGAACTGTGAGATCATGACCTGAGCCA